TATCGATATTCGACGGGGTCCCGTTCACTCGCATTCAAATACTCGAAATTCGATAGGTCGAAGTGGGTATCAGAACGCTGGGCACGCGTCTCGCGGTCATCGTACTTGGACATGAGTGACGCACGACGTGATCGGGGAATCCGAACGAGTTGCGTCCTCAGTGACGTGTCGCGATTTGCGATTAATCGATTGCCATTTAAACCTTTGGATTAGGATCGATTAACAGTGTGTTTGCATTGACACCTTACTAATCGATTCTTTATCGTAGCTCCGAATGGGGAAATATCGATAGCCGATGATTCGCGCGTTGCCGCCCGTTGAGACCTCGCTGCGCATCCGTACAAGTGCAAAAACTCTCAATACCGTTACTCGTTTCATCGAAGGGAAAAATAACAGAGATTTCGTCAGGATCACGAATGAAACATATACAGTTATATGAACATTCGTTTGATCCCTGGCTTTCTCTTGGTTCCTATATCATTTTTCGTGCCGAAATCAGCGCAGCATTCTGTTTAATTTTAAAAAACTGAAGATTAGAAAGTTTACAAGATGGCCTCTAATTCCGAAGCCGAATCAGATCCAATAATCGATAATCCGAGATAATCGATCCTTTTCCATATAGGTTTCAATGACAGGCCTCTGACTCATCACCTCCTTTCCTTAGAGATATATCATATGGTTTGCATCGTAACTCAGGGAGGTTTGCATGAAGCATCATGCTCATGAAAAGGACAGTTTTTACGATCCAAGCTACTTTTTTTCCAGTGCGCGAATCAGAAACAAGATTCTGTGTTTGTTTACATGCGAACCAAGCTGCCGTGATAGCGAAGAGAGCCGTAAGTGCAAAATTTTCGAAATCGAGTTTTCTTCAAAATTCGTCTGAACTCTTTTAGATGAAATTACTGAGACAGCTAAAACAGCAAAATTCATCCTAATTTAATGAAAACGAGACGTATGTAAAAGCCGAAAGTGCACAAAAAATGACTCCGTTTTTTTTCAAGACAGCCGTAGATGCATGAGAGCCAATGAAAACAGTTCTTTCCAATAAAGTGCCGCCCTCTTCTGCCAATTTCCAACCTGAAAATGTGCTTGTTGTGCGTCCAAAACGCAACCACGAAAGCATGCAGAAGGTAGCACTTACCGCTTTCTTGCCAAACAATAACCTAGTATGAAAATGAAAAATACCCTTTTCATGTAATGGAAATAAAATTAGTCGATTTTTAATCATCCATACGATTTCTAGGAGTCTTCCAGACGATTAGTGGCAATTTGACAAAGAACGGAGGCTTCTTTCAATAAAATGATCTTGTCAGAAGCTTCTGAGCAAGTTTTCTCAAAACTTCATTTTTCACTAACGGCTCTCTTCGCTATCACGGCAGCAAGGGTTCTATATTATATCGAGTGACGTATCCACTAAGTCAGTCTGTTGAGGACTCCGTGACACGCATGACCGGGTTTCCTGTGGCCAGGTCGGCAGGTCCAAGTTGAAAGTTGAAGGGCGGCCCGGCCGCGGCTCCGATGGGCGATGCTGCGGTTAATTTGCTAATCGAGTCGTCAGAGCTGGAGCCGATACTGTTGCAACCGTGTGCAGGTCGGAGCCGAGGCAAGTCGTAGGCACGCGCCAGGCTCCGCGCTCGGCGCTCGGCCTTAATCCCAGTATCGCTCGCGACCCGCGCCCATCTGATCACGCCAAATGCAGCTACCATGTCATCCACCTGCATTCTGCATCGTCGAAAACAAGAAACCCCTCGACCCTGGTGTTTTCCTGCTATGAAAATCATATGACTGGAGAAATTGCACGCTAATTTTATATAATTGCTTCATCTGAAAGTACCTAAAGAGCTGATTCTGAAGTATTTTTTATAATTTTTTTCGGTCGTAGGAAATAGTATAAAAATAGATTTAAAAATGAGAAAATGCACCGACTAGTGACGTCATCTGGCGGCATTTCCCATTAAAACGCCCCGCGCCCATCTAATCACGCCAAATGCAGCTACCATGTCATCCATACCTGCATTCTGCACTGTCGAAAACAAGAAAACCCTCGACCCTGCTGTTTTCCTGCCATGAAAATCACATGAATGGAGAATTTGCACGCTAATGTTTTATTGCTTAATCTAAAAGTGCTTGAAGAGCTGATTTTGAAGTATTTTTTATAATTTTTTTCGGCTATGGGAAATGCGCCCTCTGCATCACTGATCGAACCAAAGAGGAAGAAACCATGAGTGTCATCACCGCAGTGGATGATGTCACGAACCGAATTTTTCAAAACGCACCATCTCGGTTATTAATGAACGTAGAAAGCTACCGTTTGGACAAATCGTATCATTTTTAGCTAATCTATCAGAATCGAGCACCAAAGCACGATCCTGTGACCAGCGCAATCGGCCCATTTGACGTATCCATGCCGGAAGGAACCATATTACACGCGAACCCCATGCACACAGTTTCCTTTATCAAGAATCCGTCCAATTAGTGTCCGCTAACTTTTCTCTCGCTGCGTTTAAGTCTCCGGGCTGCTATTTGCGCCACCCCTTATATATTTACCCTCGGTAGTGGCGCAGTCAAGGCCGAATTGAAGGGAGTAGGTATCAATTTTTCTCGCACCGAGTGAGAAGAGAAAGAACCAAAGTCAGAAGTCCATAGTTTTTCAACGGCACGTAGAAACCTTGCACATGGGCATCTTTAAAGTATGTAAGACCATACCACCGTGCTGAAGAAGAACGCCGCATGAACATTCGAGTGTTGCCAAATTTCCTTGGATAAAATTTTTGAGGGAAATTATGAAAATATTTCCTTGAAATTTTCAGACGCTTTAGATCGAATTACAAACAAAATCATCTGAGAAATTGGCGGGAAAATATTCAAAAATTGTCCTGGAAAATAGGGATTAGCCAGAGGAAATTTGGCAACGCCTGAAGGCTCGTACGGCGTTCTTCTTTAGCACGGCAGTACACCTGAACCAGATTTTAGCTGAAGCCAAAATTTCAACCGAATTCCGATGAAATTTTCAAGACCCGAGGAGAGAGGACATAAGAGGCCCCATTTTTGAAGCACTGTCAATGGCTTTTTGAAAAAAGTCCGCAAGGTGGCGCTCTGAGGCCGCAAAGAGCCGGAGCTCACGGTAGTGTCGCAACTGGCGCGTAACTGTATCGGGTGAAAATGATTGCAATGACCACTGCACACAAAGCTCCCAAGTTCGTGAGCCTAAGATCGCCGCTCAGTGGAGCAAATCGATGAGAGAGATTGGACATGACGTGGAAACTTAATAGCTTACTATGAACTTTAGCATGGAACGTAGAAGTTCTCAAGTGGCTCTCTCGTAAAGTTTCCTTCCAGAAGCATTTCTTAAAATTTAGAATGGAACAAAATGAACGTTGAAATTCGCAGTTTTATTTAAAAATGTAATTTCCGACCTTTCCATAAGCACCGTTTTCCCTGTTTTTTCTCTTTCCACTGTGCTCCGTGGGAAGGAGCCAACATGCTCGCGAAAAAATATCTAGTCCCATCGTTGCCGCGCTCACGCTTCTATGGGCGCCAACTGTGTTGCGTCACAGAAAAGCGATGTGTATCGAATTATTGTCATCGGAAGCATTGAATGATTATGGCAATGTTCCGGGGTGCTGACGAGTCTGGAAATCAGAGATTGCCATTAATTGTCACAAAGTCAATGGAAAATCAGGGAATTTTATGAAAACGCCTGGAATTTGGAAAAATCTCACAACTTGTAATATGAAAAACTAAAGGAAAGATGATAAAGGTCTCACCTCGCCGAATGGTGTCTGACTACAGTATCGATGAAAATTTATTCTTTCCTACATCATACCTAACTTCGGATTTTTAATAGTTGGCATGGATCATTCACCCTCGTTCTACCTGACCCCTAACCTAACCCGAACCACGTGTTAGTTGGAAACCACTTGTTGAATTCGATTAATATCCTGATTTGAAAGCTGTTAAACGTCTTGTTGATTCTACGGTCACCAACACCGCCAACAGTTTTGAGTTTATTTAGTAGCAGCGTTATCACATTTTTTACACTAATTTCTGATACCGGGTCCGGGGCAACGGGGGAGAATCTCCACAAGCGTTTTCTTCCGATGAAATTCGGTGGAAAGACGATTAAGTCTTCGGGTAATGATAATGAGCATCTTTACCAATTACCAGCCTTCTCATCGCCTAATGGTGCAAGAAACCCTGCCTACAACAGCAAACCCCGCGTTTTCCGAAAAAAATTGGCTCCCTCTTGTTGAGCTCGATTCAGCAGTCTATTGGCCCAGTAGTCGGATTCATTTCTCAGTATTTCACCAACAGAAGCAGAAGATAAAGCAGTAGATCGACAGTATTTCACGCGACCAGAGGAAGCAATGAAATAGTGGCGGCGCGTGGGCAGAAAGGGGGTCAAAATTTTGAAAAAGGAGATGAAGGTGTGGCTGTGGGTCCCTCCAGCCCAGCCCTCTAGCCCTCCATCCGCGGAACCAACGTTGTAAACTTGGTACCCCTAGATGCAATTCTTGGTAGTTTTCACGGTTAAATATCACCTTTTTTTCCGTCCTCGCATCATACGGAGGCCGCAACCAGGGTGGCGAAAGTTCATGTCTAATGAAATCTTGAAATTTGACGTGGAATATTTCCTGAAATTTCAGAAATTTCTGAAAGATATTGAAAAATACCGGTTCCTTTTCATGTTTCGCAGTATGCAAAAATTGTGACTTTCCTCAATTTTTGTGTGTTTGAGTGCGGGTTGCATACTCTAGCCCCTGAAAAATATGAATTATTTCAGTCTCCTGAAAGTCAATGAAATATTTCTCTGAAATTTCGACTCTTTCATTTCTTTCTTGCGATTCATGCCACCCTGGCCGCAACTAGACATCGATAGGTATTTCATCGGTAAAATAGGGGTTATAAAGATATTTCCCCCTCGGAGTCCTGTTTGAATGATTTCCCCAAGAATATTTACTCTTTTCGGATGAATTTGTTCTCGTTTTCGAGTGACTCACCGACGATAGCAGAGAGGAGAAGGACGAGACCGGCCGCGAAGGCGGGGGGTGGCTGTTTCATAACAAACGCTTTGAACGGGACGCGCGCATACTACGATTAATCCTCTGTAAGCACTGCGCACTTGGGCTCGGCCCATACACCACTGACGATCAGCAGCAGCGTTGCTCAGCTTGTCCAGCACCAGAGCCCCCTTCTTCTTCCCCCCCCCTCCCACGTACCCCCTTCTGCTTCCCCGTGCCCCCTTATCCTCATTCTCCTCCCCCCCGCCCGGGTCGAAGTCCTCACCTCGCCTGTCAAGCTTAAAGCCTTGCCGTCANTTTTCATGGGGGGGGGGGGGGGGGGGTCCAGGCTTTTTATCCGAATTGAACTAAATTTTGCATTAAAGACCTTGTAATTCCGGCTGATTATATTCAGATAGGTGTTCCGCTCCTTCCTCTTTACATTTCTCTCTTGCCTTTCTTCCTCTCCTTGCGTTTCGTATACTCATTTCTTTCTCTCTCTCTTTTTCCTCTTTTTAAATCCCCACCGTCCCTCCTCTCCCTCTCTACCTCTGCACTTTTTTAAGTGTAAGCTTTTAATTGTCTTATTTTTAAGAGCTGATGCTATTGATAAAACGATTTGTTTCTTTGTCATAAAATTGTCTTGTTTTATATTCTATACTTTACAATGTTTTCACTGTCTTAATATTGTCCTTATATTTAATTCTTGAAAATGCCCAAAAGAGGTTTACTAACTTCATTGTAGGAATTTTTTCAGAATCAAGTACAAATAAGAGGAAAGGAAAGTGCCTTTATTTGAATTGGTTGGCTCTTCACTCCTTTTTTACCGAAAGTTGCTTATTGCTAAGTGTTGTATGTTACAGAGCATGTCGAAGGAATCCGGTGCGAAAAAATTCCAAGCTCGAGCTATCAAAGACTTGCTAGCGATCGAGAAAGAAGCAACGGAGCGATTTGCTTGCATCAATGGTATTCTGCAGGTGGCGGAGAATAACTTTTTCAACAAACTACGGGAAGAAAGAAACAATTTAATGAATGCTTATGTTCAGTTGGAAGAGGAATTAGCCGCCTCCAAAAATGTGAGTCTCAAACTTATGCCCATTTTGTCACATTGATTATCTGTTTGTCCAGGCAACCCGAAAAATCGGAATAGTGCCAGTGAAATCATTTTCCAGTGATTAATAAGTGTGGATACACAAAAGAAAAAAGTACTTAAAATACTGTGGATACTGAAGAATCTATAAGTGCAAAGGTAGATTATATAATTCACCTTCGCACTAATAGATTTTAAGATCTGATGCCCTTTGATGAGTATAATTTTTGTCTTGGAACTTCTAGACGTCATATGAGGGGCTTGAAAGACAAGGCGCATAAGTGCAGTTTTTGCCATTTCGAGAAATACGAGTTTGAAGTTGAAAAATTACATGAATCCTTACGGCGGAAAGAAAGTTCAAACTTACATTTTAATGCTTAAAAATTGGAATTTGGGAGAAAATTTTTCTCATAATATGCATTGGGACTAGTTTTACTTGAAATCTTTAATATCTCAATTTTTAGAAAAACTGCACTTATGCGTCTCGTGCTCCAAGCCCCTCATATCTCCCTCAATTTTTGAGCTCTCAAAGTCAAACTTGCGCTAATGCATGTCATTCTTGTCATTTTTTGTCTCCATATTTCCTTCCTTTATGCGTAAGTTTTTCCAATAAATCAACTTATAATTACTGAAAAATAAAGGTCCGTTTTCACAGATCGTGTTGCATTTTAATATCACCAAATTCCAACTTTCGACTTCCGTAAAAACCAAAACCAATATTGGTCAAATCAGCTTTCAACTGAGACACATACATTTAGGAAATAACTAAAGCTTGGTTTCACAAAGATTTTCATCCTCGACACTCAGTGTCTCCCAAATTGCAGAGAAAAAGTAAGCACTCTTCTTTGAAATGAAAAGTTTAACTAGTTTTAATTTAAGTACTAGAATGGCTAAGTAAGCCAGGAAAAGCAAAGCTAAGATGCGCCAGGTCCTAAACTGGGTATCGGCAGTGGGCTGATTGCTCTCCGAGCTCCTCCTTGTGTCTTAAAAAAAGGTTTGACTTAAGGAGACCCAGGTACTCTGGTAAGTGGGAAGTTCGGCCTTTCAAGTATTGAAAATGCTTATATTTTCCCTGTGTATTTAGGGAAGTTGAATTTGGAAATTTTCTGTCAGCTCACCGTGTTCAGCATCAATTTTCTATGAGGAACCAAGTATTTTTGTCGTTAATGCCCCCGCCCCCTTTCCCTGTCTAATGATCCATTAATGCAGATAATTGTCACATAATAACCCCATGCATCGATTAAATTTTGTTTGCAGAGTATTGAGGCTATACTTACTGAAGCCAAAGAAGCTGTTGCAAAGAAAGGGGTCTCTGTAAATGTTTTTGAATTGAACAAGGCATTAGATGAAATAGCAACAACCGTACCATCAAATGTCTGTTGGGACAGCAGTGAAGCGCCAAGTGAAGAGTCCACGTACAGGTAAATTTTTAAATTGATTACTTTTATTTGATGACTCAAAGCCCAGACCAAAACATTCTAGATACTTTGTAAGTTTGTATTTTTCCTCTAAAAACTACCATCTCATTTAATGCTGCAGCATCAAAAATAAAATTTATTATGACAGTACGCAACACAAAACTTCCTGTCCCAGGTTAAGGATTACAAATGGCACGGATACATTCATTAAAACGAAAACAATTTTTAATTCATTCAAAACAATAATCTTCCTTGCAAGTGAGTTCAATAATCACTATATTTTATTGTATTATTTTATGTTCAGAGAAACTTTTCAAGTTGCGTCTAACTTCTTAAACTCAGCCATAGGTGGATAGACTATCTATAAAGTATGGCCCAGATTTACTTGTTTTAATATCAAAATCTTGTGTAGAAAGTATCGCTCATATGCAAGGATTTGACAATTGACTTTCAATTCAAAATTTGGAGTGAAAAACGGTCGGAATCGACCAGATCCCACAAAAAACAAAACATCTTTTTTTCTCAATCATTTTAATTTTTTTCTCCATGTAAAATTTTTTAATCAATTTCAGTCGCTTGTAACTATCATAGGAAAATATTTTCAAATATTAGTTTTCCACCAAAAATCTCTTTACAATTAGATAAGCCATGAAAGAACCTGAAGTTTGTTTTTGTAAACTAAATCTTTTAACTGATTTCTCTTTGAGCATTAAGATTGTATATAGCACGTATTGAATGTTAATATTATCTCAATGGTATAAGATACCGAAATACTCTCCTTGCAATCTGCTTTCAATTGGAAAAACTGGAGAGTTACACCAGTCGAAGCCTCTTATTCATCAACTTGATGATGACGAAGTCCCAATGTGTTTCTGTTTGGAAATTTTCCAATTTTTTAAGCATTTTACATGCTTAGCAGTTAGCAGCATCAGTTTAACTTGCTCAACGCAGCAGTAGCAACCACTGAAAATTATCCCTGGACTGGTACAAGTGGTTTTAAAAATTTCCTTTATGTATACAGCCAACAAATTCTTAAGCTCTGGTGAAGGAATGGTAAAGCTTGTGTCAGGCCTTGTACCAATTTTTTGAAATTTCTTGCCGAAAAGCTCAATTTTTGCGTTTCGATTTTTATAGGCTAGAAAAATTGACGGACAAGCAAGTGTCAGAAACATTCAAAGAGGCTTTTGAAGGTTGTTTCAAATTGAGCTGTCCTGCTCTTCCCAAAGTGAAACTGGTCTCAGATAAACATGTTTCCGATCACATTCGAGTTGAGGAACTGATCCAGAATTCTGAGAGTGTCTCATCTTTATCCAAACAGTATGGTAAGAACTTATTTTTATTAACTTGTATCTATATTTATGGCGATTCCTTCATAATTTTCCCGCTGGATAACGCACTTGAAGCCGTGGTAATTTCTCACGCAAAACATTTTTGAATTCTTGATGTGTTAAGATTCAAAAATTTCTGAGACCTGTTCCAATTTTTTCCCCTGTTTATGATGTTAGTTTCAAGATTTTGACCAAAATTTGTCTCTCTCAAAAGCGACGTAACGATTTTGATAGAGGGGAAAAAAATATGGCATCAGCCTCAGGAATATTTTGTGCTACCGCATCAAAATTGAAAAGTAGAGGTAGTGATGAGGACGAAAATCGCTCCACGCCTGGAATCTCTAGATTTTCCTATGTTTTTCAGTTGATGACGTATATTTTACAGAAACACTTTGTTTCGGCAATATATACTTTTTTTTTATCCTGGAATCGGAGTATTTAATTTATAAAAGGCCAAACTTCAAAATAATTCGCATACCTCAGTTTTCCAAATCAGATCGCATGCTGGACTCAAAGGACTCACTTAATGAGCTTTAGATATTTTGTTTGAAACTACTTGAAACAGAAAATATGTGCAAATTTTCCATCAGATTCAACAAAACTTACTCTCCTGTAAATTTTTCTTTGGAAACTGAAGTCCCTTTGTTTTGTCTTGGAGTGAAATTGTTTTTTATTTTATTAGTGAACTTGGGTCTAAGATCTTTTGTGCAGCAACCAATTCTCTGGATTTGAACGGACAGATGAATTTAGGTGCTGCCTCTGGGTTGCTTACCTTTGGCAGTAAAATCTACGACAATTTTTCTCTTCTTTGCAACTTTTTGAAAGAGAATGAAAGAAAGCATTGTTGATGGTCTATGAGGACCTCCTCCCTCCCCCCCTTTAAAAAAATCTTTTCAATTTCAAAATATACTCTCAAAATTCCATCGCAAAGGTTTTGTGCGAGGATAAAATAATACAGAATTTAGACCCAACTGCAAACAAGAATGCATTATTTACATTTTAAAAATAAAGGTCCTGTAAATAAAAATGTGTTCCATGAATATTGTCTAAAACGTTTCCACCCTACCTTTACTGCAATGGGCCTGTTGCATGCAAGAGACACAGCCGTGCGAATAGACTTTTTAGAGGTTAAATGACATGAAAATTACGATGGTCACATTAAAAAAGTCTGAAATACACTCCTTACTGCGCAATTTGCGTTGTTAGGAGCGCGCTTTTTCAAAGTTCCCGCGTCGGGGGGCAGTTTTCTTACGGAAACAATTAACGGCAACTCGCGGCTATTTCCGGTCAACTAAAACTGACAACATAACCTAAAAATCGGAGCTCGTGATATCGTGAAATGAAATGTAGAAGGATTGCGTTGGATATTTAAAAGTTGATCGATTTGGTGACCGCATAAAGCGTATATGGACCACTATAAGAGATCACGTTGGGTTTGTGAACAAACTGAAGGAAAAAATAACAACAACAACAACAACGACTCGGCATCTTCCGGAAATCACCGAGCCCGCCGTTTGCTCGTTTCCGGTGATTAAAAAACTGCCCCCAGACGCGGGAAATTTGAAAAAGCGCGTTCCTAACAACGCAAATTGCGCAGTAAGGAGTGTATTTCAGACTTTTTTAATGTGACCATCGTAATTTTCGTGTCATTTAACCTCTATAAAGTCTATTCGCGCGGCTGTATCTCTTGCATGCAACAGGCCCATTTAAGCAGTCCTCAAGGGGTGGTTTAAAATGAACAAAATATCAGTTTCATCTTAAGTGTGGTAAGTTATTTTCTTATTTCTGATCATAGGTATCCCCACTGGGGCCAAAGAAGATGACACCCTCTCACAACACTCCAGTCTAGGAAGTGACAGTCTAGGAAGTTTGGCAAATGTTGAATCCACTACTGAAAATGCAACTTCAGGTCGCTCATCGCCTATACTACCAACGACCTTAGCTACTCTAGCACCAGGTATAAATTAAACGCCAGGCTCTTAAAGGCCATCGCCCCATCGCTTTCAAACTTCACTACGGGATAGGAGTTCAAAACTGGGAATTTTTCTGCTTCTGCTCCGTGGCTATTTTTCTAATCTCTCCAATGCACTAGCAAAGAAGTTAATAATTTCTTGTGTAAAATTTCATTTCAATTTCTCGACTTTATTGAGGTATTATTACCTCTTCTTAAGCATTTCTAAAGATGGAACTGACATCTCTGATTTCACAATAATGAATGATAATGAGAAATTTCTAAGAATTTCTGAGGATGCTGCTAGAATTCATGTTTGTTCTCTTAAACTGCTATAAATTATCTCTTGGTTCATGCAAGGTTCTTCAAAGCTTTAGAATAATATCAAAGTTTTACTTAACTAGATTCATACAAACATTAGGAATGTTGTTGCAATCAAATATTTGAAAACACTCGGAAGAACCACCTATAACTTGAAAGAAGTAAATATTTTTGCTCCAATCTCAAGAGGATAGTCTAGTATTTTTTCAGGAGAGGTCAGGAAAATTGAGAGGGAACCGCAGGTCTTCATTAAGGGTGTATTAAGAAATGAAAAAAACTCAAAAAAGTTTTAGCTGAATGAAAAAAAAAAAATGCATTTCAATTGCATGGTTTAAAAATCTCCAAACATTTTTCCTTTTTCTTTAAGAAAAACTAAATCAGAATGTCTTCTCACAATTTTATAATTTTTTTTTAGAACAAGTGAAAGAAATTTACCGAAAACTTCATTAGAGACTGTTGGTTGGTTTTCCTTCAACACATGAACATGAGCAGAGGCTCACAACATTACAATTTTTAAGATTTTAATTTCTTGACTCCAGTCATCAATATGCTATTCAGAGTTATGGAGATGGAGAAGATTCAGAGTCAGAAGATAAATTCTGCTGGAAGATTAGTCAATGGTGTCTATTTAATGGTTTCATTCTGGATTTTTTTTTTTTTTTTTTTTTTTTTTTTTTTTTTTTTTTTTTTAAGTATATGAAGATTCTTATGCTATAATGGGTCAGTTGCACTGGTTACAAAATCGTATTTTGATGCTTGATTCTTGTAGATTAGCGAAAAATAATAAGATCTCTCCTAATAGCGCAACTTCCTCTGCTCCATATCAACAGAGATATCGCCCCTTGAAAAGTCAGGTTTTTGACGTCATCCGTGGCTGTAGTGACACCCTTGGTTTCTCCCTCTTTCGTTCAATCAGTGATGCAGAGGGTGCAACAGGAAACTTCAACAACATTAAACATAAATAAACTGTGGTGAACTGACTGACCGCCTTACCTCCTCTTGTCGAGTCCATTATCTCCTGATAAGATCCTTGAAGTGCCATTTTATCTGTTTCTTGAGTTTCTTTATGTTTAATGTCATTGAAGTTTCATGTTGCGCCCTCTGCATCACTAATCGAACAAAAGAGGATGAAACTAAGGGTGTTATTCCCGTGGTGAATGAAGTCGAAACCCCGACTTTTCAAAGCGCAATATCTCTGTTAATATTGAACCTAGGCAGTTGCTGTTTGGACAGATCTTATTAATCTAGCTAATCTACAACAATCAAGCATCCAAACACGATTCTGTGACCAGCGCAACTGACCCATTAGCTGTTCATTTACCATAGCATAATTATGACGAAGGTTTCAAAATGGAATGGCTGTCTGTAAAATACAGAGTGCAAGAAAGGGAGAGGGAGATCTGATCCTTTGTCATGGAATTGCTATAGGGGTAGGGGAGGTTTCCAGGGCTGCGTTATACAATGCTGAAATGTATGGGTACTTAGTGCCAATTTCTGGAAAATCTGAGATGAAAATCAGTTATGAGGTAGCAATTTTTCATCCAAAATCCATCACTCAAAACCAATTGGGGTGAACCTGAGCATCATTTAATTTTTTTAGAGGGATGTAAACCTGTGATACAGATGCATTACGAGAGGAAAGAAGACAATTTAAAAAAATCTGATCTGGAGCCTTTCGCATTTTATGAGTGGTCTGTAAGTTAAGAGTGCATTTCAAAAAGGAAGGGGTTTGGAAAACTGTAAAATTTGTGATTTGATATTTTCAGGGAATATTCAGCAGTTGAACCATGCATTTTAAATGCAAATTTTGACTGAAAAAGATAATCCATATTTTACTCTAAGAAATCTATTGGTTTTTATTATTTTAGGCTCGGCAGAAATGGTAACCGTTGCTCACATTGTCTCTCCCTCTGAGTTCTACATAAACCGCAAAGGAGTGTCAGATATACTGCAGCAAAACAAAGAAAGATATCGCAGGTACGTCATGACAACCAATCCTGAGGTACCAGCATCTTTGAATAAATCGGGTTTGTACCTGGTTACGTTTAAGAAAGATACCGGTAACCAGGTTGGTGACTGGTACCGTGGGTTGGTACTGAAGACGGACATACCTGATAAGCCTGGCAAGGTGTTTGTTCTTTACATCGACTATGGAACCACAGCATTTGTGGATATATCCTGCTTCAGGATAATGCCGGCACGATCAAGTCAAGAGCCAGCATATGCAATCCGCTGCTCGTTGTCAGAATGTCATCCACGTGAAGGAACATGGTGTGTTGAGGCAAAAAGGAAAATGACTGAGTTATGTGATAAATGTAAGTATTTTGAAAATCAATGAATAGAATAGAAAATCTCTTACAAATGATGAATGAATGAGTCACTCAAGAAAAAGAGGGAATTCCCATATTTGTTAAAAAAAACATATCTGAGCATCCATGGGAAAAGAAATGTTAGTTCCTTCATTTATTTATTTAATAGGAGTTTGAATAACCTTCCTGACAGTACCATAGCGAAAATTGCCAAACGCTTGTCAAAAGATCGGTAATTCAGATAAAATTTAACAACAGAAAACTTATGAATATAGTTAAAAATCTTTGTTTATTCTTGCAAAAAGATGAGGGTGACAAATAGGAGCCAGGTTATAACTAAAAAATTCATTAAAAGTAATTCAAGAGCTGAAAACTCAGGTGCAGAGGAATGGAGAATAACCTGCTGCTGTATCAACCTTCTTATTTTTTCAGTCTGGATGTGATTTGGTACGGCTAAAACACTTTATTCTATGTCTTTTAGCCTCAGGTTTGTTTTCTTTATTTTATCATGATTTTAATGGTCGATGTGAAAAGTTAAGGAATCTCAATCGGTTAAAACCTGCAAATGTCAACAAATTTTCCTCCCCTGAGTCTGTAGATACCCTGCTGGCCGAATGGAAATTGATAGATAAGGAAGTCAAAGAGAAAATGGAGCAATCCAATCGGTTGAAACCAGGAAAATGATGAACTAATTTTTATCAATTTCATCATTCAGCAAATTCATGGAAGAACAAACTTAGCTAAAATTGGGTGAAGTTTAATGTTTTTGTCTATGAATTGGTTTCCATTTTAAATTTAGTAGATTCTCGTTTTTCTGTAGGTGAAGTCATGATGCATGTGATGGAAGTGACAGAGAAAGGTCTTGAAGTGGACTTGGTGCGTGTGCATGAAATAAACCATGTCTCAGTGCGTGATGCTCTCATCTTCTTGGAACTAGCCTCATTCCTCCCATCCTCAGAGAAAAAGCAGGAGGTTCCAAAAACGTTGCTCATTCCTAAGTCAAAATTCGCAAAGGGTGACATAGTCGAGGGCCACATTTCACATGTAGTCTCACCAAGCGAGTTCTACTGCGTTGAGCTGGACACCCACTACCGGCAGCTGCACGAGCTCATGGCAGAGATGACCGAGCTATACTCGGATCCAGCGAGGCAACCTGGAAACATCCTCAACCCAGTTGTAGGAATGTCTGTTGCAGCAAAATATTCCGAGGATGAAAAATGGTAATAAATCAATAATATAAAAATGAAAATGAAAATGGGAATAAATACTATTTTTGGTGATCAGGTCGTTTTGTAAATTTGCTTCTTTCATAAATTTTCAATATTTTTGTTGTGATTCATAAAATTGTACAGGTTTGAATGATTGTTTATCAGTTTTATAAGGATAAAAGGGAAAGATTTGTCTAAAGTTTAGCATTTTTAATGACGTAGGCAAATAAAAAAAAAGGTCCAACCCTAAAACAATAACTTAATAAAATATTCCTGGTGTAGACAAAATTATTTCCTCTCATCAAGAGTCCATTTTATAGTGTTAAATATTTTAGGTGTAGTTGAAAAGAAAAGAAAACTTTGTTGAGAATGAAGTAAGAATTAATAGACATGTATTTACACTAAACAGCTCCAGAAAACATTAGTAGATCAAAGTAACGAAAATAAGGAGCCAATATTTCAATACCATAAGTACTGTACTCAGATGTCTTTTAAAAAAAATTGCATTCCTTCTAAAAAGGAAGAATATACCAATAGACAAGACACAAATTTAAGCTTTCTGATTTATGTTTCCTCTTCAAAATTTCGTATGGAACAAAAATTACTGAAACTAACTCTCAACTGAAATAGTAATATTCTCATTTTGCGTTGGTCACGAAAAATTTGAATTTCTGGCTCAACAAAAAAAAACAAAAAAAAAAAAACAAAAAAAAAACCAGAGTCTACCAGAATCAAATCACGCTTTACAACAGTGTTGGCAAGCATCTTGATAAGCAGTGTTTCTTCCCCACTCTGTGTTGTTCGAAATATAAACAATGTGCAATAGCTGAGCAGAAGCGCAGACATTGAGGTCATCATATTTTCATACTGTTAACACTGTCACAGTAATGCTCAATGTGCAATTCAATTAGATGGTTGGATTCAAGTAGATGGTGATTTTTTTTTTCTGAGTGGGAATTTTGAATTTATGCATGGGAAAACGTTAATATCTTGGTTAGGAGTCAAATTCAGGGATTTTTGATGGGCAAATCATGTTCTACGTGACATTTTGATGTGGAAACCCGAATCATTATGTCTAAATTCGCACCTTGTTTAGTAGTTCATTGCTTTATTTATTTATTTATTTTTTTTTTTTTGTCATAGAAAATAATAAAAGAAAATTACAAATTAACCAGGTCCTTTTTAAAGGTAACTCTCTTTTAACGCCATTATTGTCAGTTATGTTTAAAATAATTTCATGGAGTATGATGATAGCACTACACATGAAAGTCAAAAGTCAATCCATGATTTTTAAAAATATGTTTTAGCCCTCTGCAAATCAGTCTGACTAAAAATTGATCTCTCTAATGCTTTTAAAATAACTTCTTTGGTTTTTGCAAATTAAGTTTTTGATTTGTGTAGCAACATAAGTGTAGTTGCGTAAAATTTCATCAAAATCCATCTCTGAAACCAGTGATAAAACATTTCCCTACATAATGCTTCATAGTAATTGATTGCTCAAAATGTTCAAACCTCAGGTACCGAGCAGTGATAACCAATCTTCCAGGCAAGAGGCTCGTTGACGTTTTTTATGTCGATTTTGGAAATAGAGAGCGAGTTACTTACTTGGACGTTCGAGCCCTCTTACCAAAGTTCTTGCGAATGAGCACGCAAGCAATCCACTGCAGTCTGTGTGACATCAAGCCCCCGAAGAAGTCAGATCAGTGGCCTGAAAAAGCAGGCAAGCTTTTACAACAGCTTGAATACACGCTGGCACGTCTAGTTATCCAAGACATCAAGGTTGTTGACAATCAACCTAAAGTAAGTTCTACTTACATCATCTATTTGTTTTTGTTTATGATTCATGTTTGTTCCAACAGAGCATCTGTTACAGAGTGTAAGGAAGCGTACCAAGTCCTTAAGTATCTTCAATTTTTATTTTCCTAGTTAAGTCCTGAAGCCCTTAATTCTTAGGCAAAGTTGTAAAAGAACTCAAAAGTTCATGAACTTCAAGATTTTGCATTTGATTTTTAAATTTACAGACAAAAGGTCTACGTAGAATGAGGTGATACGAAATAAAGTCTCCCTCTTTGGTCTACAACCAAAATGTCTACAGAAAAATGTTAACTGGAATGAAGTTTGCATACCCTAATGAAGGGTCCCAAAATAGCATCTACTTTTCAGAATCTCCTTACATGAACCTGACTTGAATTTTCAAACTGACAGTGTTAAGCAGAAAGGAACAAAATCACATCTGCAATTGGCAAATTTCATTCCTTTAATTTTTTTTTTTTGGAAGGGGGGGGGGAGAATGGCTGTATGTGGAATTTGAAAATTTCAAAGAATTTGCCATATACCGCAGGAAACCCCTCGAAATTCTCAAAAGAATGTATCCTATTGTTCTACCGTCAAAAAATAAATCATCCGTTGAAATTTGGCAATGATTGATATGACTTGGTTCCTTTCTACTTTATGTGATCCACATATCCGAGCAGCCATCGGTTGAAAGTTCATACAGTTAACATAAATCGCTTATAATGGCAATTTTTTTTTTTTTTTTTTTTTTTTGGTGGAAAATCAGCAGATGACAATCATAATCCACGCTTTGTTGAAGTTCAGATTATCTTACAAACATCTCAAATTTGACTTAGTGAAATTTTCTGAATAGACTGCATTTTGTAGACTGTACCTATTCGTTCTTCTCTCTTTACATCAATACTTTTGCTGTAGCCGAAACAAAAGTAGACTTTTTTTGAAAACTCTTTCCTTTGTTCTTTGACCTTCTGGTTGCGCTCAGATTTTGGATAATTACAACTTGATTATAACAATTGAACGTATTTTTCCGGAAACAAACTAAGTACCAATGGACTGAATTAGAAGGAACTTGCGAGCAGGCAAGTTTTCGTTAGTGTTATTTCAAAGAAATTATCATTTTTATGCAACTTTACCAATCTGCGTTGTTCGAGGATAGTCATGTTAAGTAACAGATATCAAATGAATGACAGCTAATATTGCAGTGTCTTTCATTTTAGGTATCGGTGGTTCTCTTTACGATGAAACCAGATGCAGACATCTGCATCAATGCTTACCTGGTTCAAGAGGGCGTTGCAGTGAGCACAGGCGTCAACTCTACTGTCGTCACATTCCACCGAGTTCAGAATTCCAAGAAACTCACAGCACTCCAAGGTCTTTGCACAGAGCGGGATCAAGAAAAACTCAATGATGCACCATCAGATGTGGCGGCTAAACTGACGAAAAAAACCAAGAAAAAGACCACTGAGAAAAAGAAAAAAGAAGGTAATGGTGGTGATCACTATTTCAGGACTCATCAGAGTGTGTTTTTTGCTCAGGTTTATGATAGCTATCCAAGCTCTCATCAGCTAAAAGTTTAAATTGTTTAAGAAGTTTTGTACCTTCTCTGCAAAATCAGGAATTGAAAATAATTCATACTTTTTTTATGAATAATTGTAAAAAGTATTTTTTCTGTTTTGATGTCTCCAGCAATGATGAATTTTACAATTCAGATGTTTTTTCTTAATCCTTTTCTCAAAGCAATTAAACGCTTAACTTGAGCACGCTGCAAATTATCAGGTATTTTTCTCATCACTCTCCCAATTCCATTTTTTTATAATGCGGAATAATGAACAACTGTGCTCATTTCAGTCCAAATGTGATGTTTTCTCGGAACCTTAGAATTATTCTCATTCAAGACAGTATAAAACCTTATGCATCACGCTATGATATTTTCTTGGCCCCATCAAAGTCTTTCATTCACAACTGTATAAAGTAACTGATTGAGTTTCTCTTGCAAAGTAAAATTAAATTGTTTTCATTTGAAGGTGAAGAGGCAACATTTACGGAAGAAACGGATATCAGTTGCGCTGCAAGTGTTACATCAAGCTCAACAGCACTCACAGAAGAATCGGAAGATGGTGACCAAACGCACCGTATCGAAGTCAAAGTTATCTCGGCTGCCTCTCCGAGTCAGATCTATGTTCGCCTGCATAATCAAGAAGTAGAAAAATTTATCGAAGAACTGAATTGGGAACTAGACAAGTTTTATGCGACGAGCAGTCCTGACCCATCTGCTAAGTGGAAAGAGGGCGACATTTGCGTAGCTTTCAATCCAGAGGATAAACATTGGTACCGTAGTATAGTCCGGGAAGTATTCGATGATCACTTCCTGGTTGTGATGAAAGATATCGGGAAGGATTGCCAAGTGAAGAAAGAACACTTGCGGCCGATCAAGGAGAAATTCTTGAAAGGATTCATTGATGGAACTATCCGCTGTCATCTTGCAGGTTAGTATCTCTTAATACACTACCTGCAATGCTGGTCAATTCGATCGCATACGCCAAATAACCAACGCTCGCACAGCCAATTTTTCCATATCCCAGAATGTTGTTTTTTTTTTCTGTCATCAACATAACATATAAGGGACAATCAGGCAACGTCTGTTGTAGATAAGCTGATTAAATTCGTTCTTACATTAGTTCGTCTTTTTCTTGGGAGTTTAATATTACTCGCATCTACCTTTACCTGTCAATTTTTTTCATTTTTATAGAGGTTTGCCTAAACAAATAATGATGAAAGTAAAAAAATTAGAAAACTTGTTTCGGTTTTTGGTCTTGAAACAGTTATAATTGTTATGTGACTTACTAGACTTCTATAATAGTTTTCTGGAGGGTTCAGCCTGAGATCTTAAACGCACTTTCTTTCATGTAGGTGTACTAGCAGCCGGTGGTGGAAAATGGGCAAGCTATGCAATTGAGCGGGTTCAAGAGGAGTTAAACAAACATTCTTCTGTATTCATCACCAAACGAGGCCAAATCGACACAGAAAGAAAATCGTTGCCGATTGAACTGTGGGTGAAGCGCGTGACCTACGGTGGTGCATTGGAGCCAGATATTGAAGAGTGGGTCAGTATGAATATGTTTGTGGTCCAGCAAGGCTTGGCGATCCCGGACCGAACATTCCAAAAGTACATTGCTCCTGCAGAAGACTTACTCCACGATTTGAAACAAATGCAGCACGAAAGTTCCAGCAATATCAATAGCAGATCATACGTTGTGTCATGGCTGCAGGACCCGGACGGACAGTCTGGGACATCGTCCATGGAGGTTTTCAATCTTACTTTTTTTCACTTAGAAGCACTCAAAAATAATTTCCTATTCATCAAGTGCTTCCTATTCTCAAAATCAATCAAAACTTATCATAACCGGCTCTTAGATTTTCTCAGCAGCTTGCCCAGGGGAAAGCATCCATAGAATGTATTGTTTTTTCAGGCTTATTATTACAATTTAAAATTAGTTTGTGCATTCCTCAGCTTGGAAAAAGTTTAGCAAGATTTACTTTGGTAAAAGATTCAAAGCCAAAATAAAAAGGTGGATGGCTCAAAAAGAAAATTCAACCTCGGAATGCAGACAAGACCTAGGCAGGTCAAAATAAAAAAGCGCTCCCTATTGACTGAGCGCTTTAAAAATATCATAGAACAAAATAGTCTTATTTCAGTCTAAAGAATTGATCTCTTAGGTTTCTCTTGTTTACCTGGGACACCCTGTGTATTAGTTTGTTTTGGTGTAAAAAACCATATCAATGGCAAAACTGCAGGAATGTATATTTCAGTTTGCAGACTTCCTGTCATACTTCATTTTCTGTGTGAAAAACTACTAAACATCATTTCTTGAAAAGTTTTGTGATTTTTTTCCACCGTTTTAAAAAATATTCTGTGAAAATTTCAAGCCATGATGTTAGTTTGTTCTTCTTTTATAAATGAAAATAAGTTTTTAAACCTCGCAATCAAGGTGTATGCATTTCTGCAGTTTCATCGTCGATATTACACATAAAGACTTAAACTTTTATCAGGATGACAGACCTTGCAAGGCGACAAGAAGTTTAACTAGCGTTTAATATAAGGCATTAAAAATCTGGCAGCACAAAGTTGAACAATCATGCTGACTTATTTTCTGTTATATGCACACAAAATAATAAAAATTAATGAATAAATAAATAAATGAAAGTGTAAGCATGAGTCAGAACAATCTTTTCCTCCAAGTTGATTAGGTACAATCTTAAGTTAGTATCGGATTTTTTCATTGTTAAAGATAGATCATAAAGCACACTAACAAGCTATTTGCGAAACAGCTACCTTGAACTGAATTTTTCACCTAAGATGTCCTCATTTATTGAGATCTTAGTTTCCCAGGAAGCCCAGTTTCATATCCAGACTGTTATTTCTTTGACTGAATCTTTTTGTTTCAGTTGAAAACTATGCAGGTTAAAAAGAAGAAAAAGAATGCAAGTGCATCAGTCCAAGAAATCTCGATGGATTGGAAACCACCTGCACCTCTGGATGATCTCGATTTGGATATCATACCCACCTTTGTGGATGAAAATAACTTAATCTATTTCCACGAGCTGAGTCGAGAGGACACGTTGAAGCAGATCGAGCAAGCCCTGCTCGTCCAGTACAAAAATTCAAAGCCGCAACCTCAGGACATGTTTTGGTATGCCGGACAGCTGTGCATTGCGCAATATCACTCAAATGGGCTTTGGTATCGTGGAAAAATTATTAAGGTAATTTCTTACTTTTTAATTGCAATTTGAGATTTTTTCATCCCACAGACAGTGGCAGACGTCCCTTGCAATGATTCGATTGATCTGCCATTTAAATCTCAGTTCAAAGTATGAACAACGTGCAATAGCTGAACCAAAGCTAGGAGATCAAGGTTGTTATTTTTCATACCACAGCCTCGGTCTCAGTAATGTGTGAAGTGCGATTTAACTCAAGAAAATGTTTGACTCAAGATGCTCTTTCTATGAGTGGGAAATTTAAATTGATGCATCAAAATACGTTGATACCTTCAGTAGGAGTTACTACCAGTGATTTTGTTGTACGAGTCATAAATTTAATCTAAATGGATGAATATCAATTTATCTCATTATTCAATCAATGGTAACTCTAAGCTGGGTCACTAATTTTTTATCACATCCCCAGGTGACGAGTGATAGCACCTATCAAGTCCAGTTCGTTGACTATGGGAACGTAGAGGATGTCAAAGCAAGCGAGTTGCGGAAGCGAGTGTTTTTAACAGAAGTCCCAACGTTCTGCCACGTCCTCGCTTTGCACAATGTGAGAGCAGTGTCTGAAGACGGGAGATGGCAGACAAACGTTCTCGACTTCGTCCACGCCAATGTCGTGGAGAAAATATGCCGAGTAAAGCTTCAATATCCTGAAAAAGATGGGGCGCCTTTTCTTGCACTATCCTTCGCCCCCCCTGGAGGCATTGAACTGGTTGATATTCTTGTTGGCTTGGGTTATGCTGTCCGAGGAGGTGCCTCTGAGGAGGAAAGCTCCACCATCTCAGAAGACTCGGATGATGATGTTGTCGTTGTTTCATCCCAAAACAAAGAATCTGATGAAGAAAATGAGGCTGGCCTAGAGGTAAATCCACCAGAATTTTGTTACATTTATTCTGACTGTGCTCCATTTGACTTCAACTTCTCAGCCTGAAAGCAATATCAGGGAGTCCAGTGACTGAGAATTTTAGGAAAAAATTTAGAACAAGGTGGACTAAAGAAAAAAGTGAGAAAACCAGGGAATTTAAGACCTGTACCAGGAATTTGTTTTTGAAATGTCGTATGATGTGTGTGGTTGCGACTAAGAGCACAAGTAACTGATAGGTGGTATCATGGCAAGTTTGCGCAGTATTGTTAAAGCAGATGATCAGCAGAAATAACTGAATTGTTGCCAATTGCTAGTTGCCAGAAGGAAGGAATGACCTGCATTTATCTCCCCCCACCTTTTTTTGGTATTGTTTCTACCTTCAATTTTTTAGTACCTCAATCTTAGGTTGCTTTGGTGTTCATCAGTTGTAGTAGAATTTCTACCCTTTCTTTCTTAACAAGCATTATAATCAGAAAAAAGCAATTATATGATTGAAGAAATGGAATACTTAGCTTCCAGAGGATATACTTCTATTTGAGCCATTAATCTCTGCTGAATTGAGTTTCAATCACCGAATTTACTGCCATTTCCTCCCAGAGCTGGACACCACAGGAGTTTTCAGATTATTAATTACTGTAACAGCAAAGTGGTAGTTATTTTTGACTTCTCTAGCATTAATGGCTATAATCAAAGGACCTAGTCACAAGTCTTAAGAGTCGTATTTTATCTTGCTTTTTTATTAATTTAGTCTAATTTCTTTATTTGAATACCATGATCAAGCTTGTTAGAGAAACTTGATGCAGCAATCAATGAAGTGGAAACATTATTTAGAGTCCACCCCTCAATTTTGATTTTCCTTATCTTATTTAATGCTGATAGGTTGGTGTAGCTCTTTTCTTTGCAGTTTCACCAATTGCTTAATATTAAATTCATTAGTTTTTGAAGGTCGCATTGGCGATGACATTTGACTTCATTCGAATGGGACTGTTAAAACTGTCTGATCAACTGTTCTTTTTTTTTACAGGATCTTCTCTCTCCACCAAGTGAATCAATTGACAATATTGTCGCTTCCATCATGAAGCCGAGAGAGATAGACCTCCGAAGTCTCTCTCGTTCCAGCAAGTCAGATGGCGCTTCGAACAAGTCCAGAAATTCTTTGGTAGACTTCACTTCACCCCCTCCTGATTCGCGAATTCTAGATATCCCGAGAGATCCTTCAGTTGTGTCAGAATTATCCATAGAGTCTGTTATAGCAGAATCTAGTATTTTTGCTGAAAGTTTGTCCCTTTCCGTCCTAGATATGAGGGAACAACCAAAAGTAAGTTTCTTTTTCCCTCATTTTCATGACACTTACATTTCAGGAAAAATTGAAATTGAATTTAGAAACTGAGATCCTCTCCTAAATCATTTAGTTCAATTCAATCCTTTAACTCAGTCTCAAGAACCTCCTTTTCTCCTGCAAAATTGCATCAGTTTGAAAAGGATTCAATGGAATCTCCTATCTGCAGTAAAAGTGTGGATTGGAGATGGAAAAATTTTGTTGTTATTTTTTCCTGATTTTGCCGTTATTTTTCACCATTCCGATGTTATTTTTGCTGATTTCAACATTATTTTTGCAGCTCTTTTTGCGTTTAACAGCTTTAAATAAAGCTTTTAATTTGATTTAAGGAACCATCGCTCAGTCTCTCTAGTTTTACTTTAAAGAAGCACTGATGCTGTAGCCAATGATGACCAATGCTCAAATGCAACTCTGTAATATCTTTATTTTGAAAAAAAGTGCGGCAAATTTCGTCTTAGAGCATATGTTCGTAAATTTCTCGAATATGTACGAATTTTGCCAATTTCGCGGTGAATTTCGTGGATTCCGAGCGATTTCGCGTTTTATCTAGAAAATGGCAGATTTGGCGTTATTTCGCTTTATATTTTCGTGATCAGGGAGTTATGATCGGTGCTTCTGTCTGATTTTCAGATTCCTAAGCACATTTTAAAAATTTTGCGGTGAATTGCGGCGGCAAAATTTTCTAAGCTCCAAAGATATTTTTAAATACTAAACCCATACAAATAAATGATGAAGCACTGAGTATAAAATGGAATACTTTTTGCGTGTACAGTAAAAGTGGGATAACTGGTACCCAGATAAGTTGGTGACCTACCTGTTTTGGTAGAATCACTTGGTCCTGTTCGTCACCCATATAATGCAACGTCAAAAAAGTCAAGACAACTAATGCTCGCATAAACCTTCATATGCAAGGCACTCATCCTCAAAGCATTGTATTCTAACAATTCTTCAGTTTGGGTACCAGATGGTGGGCGGCGCATTGTGGATCAAAAGATAGGCCGGTGGGGACATACAGTTATTATGTGACTGCCACCATCACGCATCATGCAAGAGGGATAGGTGGTGAAGAGCCATCAACGATGATGGTTGTTAGGCTGAAAATGAAAGCAGTGCCCAATTTTGATAACCTTCGAAGAGCTTGAGCGCCATTATTCCATAAGAATTACGGCTCTGGACAATTTTCCCTGTAACCTAAATGCATATTGGCAGATTTTTTTCTTCATTACAATTTTTTAGTACTCAAGCCTGGAATTGTGTCCAACCCTAAGCCATAGCGCTCCTAGTCCCATATAAATGCATCTTTTACGCCTTTTAGCTAAATTTTCATGTAGGGTGTAAATCGTCCTTTTCTCTTTATTTTCCCATGCAGTTATACTATAACTGATGATTTGCGACTTTATTATCTGCTGCAGGAGGAGCTAGAAGTCACCTGTTTACTGTCACACAAATCATTCAATGAGGTGAGATCAGTTTTTCTTTTGTGTATCTTTGACTTAACTGCATTATACATGCTTCTCACTAAAGTTTTTGTCGCCTATGAATTTCTTGAAAATGCGGGAGATTTGCACTTCAACCAACTCATCATGTAAAACTCGTAAGAAGTATGATGTTTACATCATCCTTGCTCAAAATTTTGTACCAGAAACTGTTACATTGCGCATTTTGGTGGGAAATTTTATGAGTAAGAATAATGTAATTGCAAATCCCCTGCAAGACCAGGAGTTCTACTGCAAGATCTTGCTTGTTCACTCTTTCTTCTAGTTTTAGAAATTTCAGAAACTCAATGGCATTTTTTGACCCCTTCTTTCTGCAGGGAATAAAACCCATCAAAACGTATGATAATAGGTTTATCAAAAAGCACTGAGTGTTTCCTTTAATTATTTGTTCTTTAAAACATTTAACCTTGTAAAAGTTTTTAAAGTGGTTTGATGTTGCTTATGCCCACTTCCTTGCACTCCATTTTATGCCTGGTAAATTAGACCCTCACTTGGCTTTTTTTTCCGCAAGGCTTGCTTTGCACCGCTGTAGTTTGATCGCTTCTTTTTCAGGTAAGAATCACGTGCGTGGTTGACATTGATACATTCTACGGTCAACTGGCAGCCCTTGATGAAGTAGTAGAAAGCGTGTTCAAGGATATGCAAACCTATGTCCCCGAAGCTCCGAGCCTGAGTAAGTTGAAGGTGGACACACTCTGTGCCGTCTTAATGGACGAAGAGTGGCACCGAGCCCGAATCCTCACTCTTTCTCCCGCCATCACAGCTCAACTAGTGGACTTGGGTGACATTATTGTGGTGAAGGAAGACCAGTTGAGAGAAATTCCAGCCATTCTTCAGAGCGAGCGCATCCACTGCTTCAAATTCAAGATATCTAATGCCTCGAAGGAACACGCTAAACTTAAGATCTCCGATATAGTGCGAATTAAACCTGAGATGTTTTGCCCAGAGAGTGACAGCTGGATAGTCGTTGTTGAAGACAATCACCGTGCTCAGGTGAACAGTCTGCGTATTTATTTTTTTTCGTCGGATGCTCGCCCTTTTTGCACTTACTTTCCATTTTCATGAGAATTGAGCCTCGATTGTTTGAGTGGTGTAAATGCGTTAATCACATGAACCATTGACTCGAACTAGTGCAATTGAGTTGCTCTCAAGGTTGGCAAGCTGAATGGAAATAAATTAGGCGCTCACAAATTGTTAGTCCATTGCCTTCAAGTGACGAAACATCTTGTTTCGAGATCTGGCAACAATTTTTTCGTTAGTTCCATCATTTCTCTACAACAACAATACTTCTCCACAGTTGTATCAGAAGTATGATTAACCCTATGATAGGCAACCTGGATTGCATGTAGTGCCGTCCAGCTGTCTCTTGGTTCCTGGTCCAGCTGTTGGGTGCTGTTAAATTTCTGCAAACGCGAAATACCCTCGGACAAGACAGACGTGTGGCCGCATTCCTGCAATGGGCGTCACACGGCACCACATGTATACCAGGCTGCATCAACTCAGGTGAAGTTGTGTCTTTACCCCTCTAAGCTGTCTCGCCTATCCTGCCTTAAGTCGGGCCTAATGCGTCGTCTAGATTGTGTTATCAGTCTATGAACCCCCCACATCTCCAATGGTATTTTTTCTTTTCTGCACGGTAATTTCCTTTTACTGTTACCTAACGCATTTTTTTCATGGCTTTGGCGGAGTTTGCGTTTTTCTTGATTTTGGCAATTGTAAATGAGCAAAGTAGAAGCTTTTTAACAGCTAGTTTTGTTGTTTTCTGACAGTGTATTTTGTATGCTAAGTATCTTAATTTTCAGCATGTATGCATAATAAGTTTTTAGGACTATTGAGAGAAACCAATATTACTGAATTTAGCCAGAATAAATACTGAAGCTAAGTTCAGGGGGCAGCAAAATCATTGTAAGTCAATGGTTTAATTAAAAATTGTGCACATAAATTTATGTGACAAAATTGCATTCCTGGCTCAGCACAGATTGCAGGAAGCTCAAATATTAAAAATTAATCCCAACGAAACCTATTCACTCTGAAATTGATTTTAAAATCAAAGGTGGAAATGGACCACTCAATAATTTCGAAACAAGAAAAAAACGTTACTTGTGTCCTCCTCAAAATCTTCTGTAGAAAACGACTCACTTGAGGGGAAGTCTGGAAATCAACTCCAGAATGAGATTCAAACAAGCATTTTTTATACAGATGGAAAGAAGTTCGATTATACAAATGATGTCATTCGTCAAAGAGCTAAATAAGTGTCATTAATTGGTAGGAGAGCTTCAAATCATTAAGCTAGGTAATAATGTACATACCAGCTGAGAAGGTTGAAAGTGTTACCGTTTGAGGGTATTAGAACACCATGGATTGATTATAACATTGTTTACTCGTGAAGCCGAGGGAGGCTTTTATAAAACTAAAACTTTGATTTCTATGCAACAAGAGATATGCACATAACTCGTAAGAAACGCTGACAACAGCCCTTCATCTTTGCTCAGATGTTGTGGTATGTTTTAGTCAAAATGATCTCCTTTGAACAAAAAATTGTTGACCTGTCAGATAAAATTTTATGAAGGATGGCATCCTTTCATTTGAGTATATCGATGAATTCATGAACTAGGATGATTAATTAATATGAGTGGTGACAATAACATTTCTCTATCTTCAGGATTCAGTCATTAAGTCGGAACAAACCGGTGAAAAAGAGATTGTAAATGAGTTTGGAGCATTTCTAGACCTGCCCATACTGCCCACAATGGAGGAAGTTGGAGTTGAAGTTACAGCGATCGCCGGTCTGACAGATTTCTTCGTACAAATTAAAAAAACAACAGAACAATCAGTAAGTCTATTTTCCACTGCTGCAGTTCAGTAATTGTAAATTTTTAAGCTCTTTCTGTGCACACTTCAAGGGATGTCCAGAACCTTAAAACTAGACTTCCTCTTGTTCCTATGATGTATTGTATGATGGTCTACAACAAAATGAATCCAAATGCCTGAAAATTCAAACGGAAATAAATTTTCCGTCTATGGAAAAGTGTGTTTTATGAGGATTTTGACAACCAAGGAATGCCCTAAAATGCTGAATGGAACGGAAGTTATGACTGTTTGAGGTTTCTAATTTGAATATCTTAGTTTTAAGAAAAAGCAATTTGAACGCATAAAATCTATGAAATTTGGCACTTAAAATATAACATTTTAATGCAATTTACATTCACTAGAAACTGTATAGAAATGTAATTAACTGCTTGCAACTTATCTTTTGAGATGCCAGCGATAGTTTTTTGCTGAAACTCGAATTCCAATATCCCGAATCGACTCGATACAAATTGCTCCCTTGAAAACTTCTCTTTGTCCCTTTAGGTTCCTTTATCCGTAGCTGGTGCAATAAACATCAATATTCAAGTTACATTTTAAGGGAGTTTGGTACAAAATTTAGGGTTTACTTTCTCTTTCTAGTTATTGGAGATTCTAAATGAATACGAGGCAATGTTTGAAGAAATCCAAAAGGAAGCACCCTCTGGTCGTCCTCTTCTCGAGCCCTTAAGAATCGGTAAGTTGTTCTTCACTTCTGTCCAGATTTATGAATGAACAGGCAGTCTGTTCTCCAATTCCTCCATCTCTTTAAATGGGATATTGGAAGTAATTTATCCCAAGATGAACGTATGGGTGGTTTTTTATCATATCATTTTTGTTTTCATTCTTATCTTAATAATCCTTGAAAATAGGGACATCAGGAGGATCACTCTCTTGGAGGAAAAAAAGAAGGGGAAAGCAAATTCTGAAGGGTGACATCTTTATGCACCCTATCTTTATGCATCTTTATCTTTATGCTTTGTCCACCCTTTGGTGCACAAAGCTACCCTGGTGTTACTCCCCATATTTGTCCTAAAAGGGGACATATTGACCTGTCAGCTTTAGCTTTGACCTAATTTTTGCTGCGTTGATTTTATTTTCTTGTAATTCAACTATTCCAACATCAGGAATACCGATGCATCGTGAAATTTGACCAATGGAACTTAACATGTTAATGTACATGAACTTGATGGAGCTGCACCAAATCTCTATAAAATAAGCGTATTCGTAATTGCATTCATGGCCCTTTTTTTTATTGTAACAGGTCAAGAATGTTGTGCCTTATACGAAGATGACAACTGGTATCGAGCAGTAATCGTGGCTAAATTTCCTGAAAACGAAGAAATGGTCATGGTTCGATTCATCGATTTTGGAAACAAGCAACCAACTCCCACCAAAAAGTAAACTTATTTTTAGCATTATCGTTTTAAGTAGAGGTATCGTTTTTTAAGCCAGGTTCTAACTGAGGAATGACAAGTAAACCTTGAGGCAGTGTTCACTTTTGAGGTCAGAATACCTAAGAGTAAATTTTCGATGAATTCCATCCTCCAGTCAATGAATAAAAGTGGCCTGTGTCATAATTATTTTTAAGACCTTGAATTTCGAAAATACTTCAAGAATCTGAAAGAAATCTGAATCACTGATTGTGATTCTGCAAGTCTCTGCTCATGTCTTATTATATTTAAGAGAAAACTAAGCAACGGCTTCTACTGAACTCTTCGGTGAATTTTCTCTAAAAATCTTAAAAAATTGCAAGGAAACACCTGGATTTGTTTTCTTTGAAGAAAATAATGAGCAGTCGGAGATTTTTAAACATAAAAATTTGATCCCATATTTCAGAAAGGGCACAATCGACATCTAGAACCCGGATAAAAGGCGGGAGGAATAAAAAATGAAGATAAGAGGGGAAATAATAATAATAATAATATATTTATTAATGCAACAGCCTCATGAAATTCATACAAATTTATGAGCTTAACACTCGTCAAATAATTTAATGGAACAAATTTTAACATCAAATAAATGTAACAAAAATTTTAACAAACAAAAAAAAAAAAAAAAAAAACAGTAAATGAAGAACTAAGACTTAAGACTTAGGGGACTACATTCAGGCAATTTAGGGATTGGGGAGATTTGCGTCGGGGAAAAGAGCCCCTCTGACAGTCTGTATGAGGAGGGAGGGGATTTTTACCTAACTTTGATGAAATCTGACTCTGATGTAAATAAAATGGCAGCAGCAAGTTGAGCTTTTTTGTAAGCGCGTTTTTATTTTTTAAATTTCCTCCCCATGGTAAGCCACAAATATTCGTAAAATTTTTGAAATAGGTGAATTTGAAACACAAACGTATCGGTGGCATTCATGACACTTTAAAAAGTGAAGGTAACACTGGTTAATAGCTCAAATTTACCTTTTTATGAGGGTTTTTCTCCCTATAAAATCGTATATTACAGAAAAGTTGCTATTTTAGTAGGTTCAAATGCTTATTATTCGAAAAACAGTATGGAAATTTTGGAATATTTTTTTTTAAAAAATTGTAGCCTTTTTGGTCAGCACAAAAATACCAGAAAAAAAGACTGGTCAACATGCTTAAATTTGACCAGATATGTGTTTTTCTGAACCAATTAAACCCCCTGCAATAGTGACTTTTCTGAATAATGGGATTCAAGTGAGTTGCAAATTTTTGCATTTACCCAGCGATACATTCTAGATAGTAGACGAGGTGCTGATTTTGGGCTTTTCAAAAATATCTTTTAATGGGTTGATGCTATTAACCCTTCATTTAGAGAACTTGTTACACGTGTGGCAAGGACATTCAAGCATTGAAAATTGCTCTTCTTTATTTTCCTTTATCAAACAATCACAAAGAATTTTCTATTGTCTCGACAACAGTTTGAGGCCTGTGAAAAGGAAATGGATGGACATTCCCAGACAGTGTATCAGTGTAAGACTAGCAGACATGAAAAAAGCAGACGGTGTGACAGGGGAGGCGCTTAAAGAAGCATTCGAACTCCTACAGAAGATCATCTTCTGTCCGCTGAAGGCTGTCATTAAGGTTAGTCGATCCATTTGATCTTCCTTGTTCGTAATCTTAAGTGTGTGACAGGTTGCAAAATGTCATGAATTGTAAACTAAATCAGCTTTCCAGGGAAGAATGCAATTGATAATAAGCGTAACGTTTTCACGGTAAGAAAAGAATCAGCTTCAAACAGATATCATCCCTTGCTCTTCAGTCACATCAAATTAATTCAGTAGAACTTGCTTCTAATAAGTTGGCAATTGCTTACTTTCCATTTGCAAGCGACTGCGTTGCAGATGTCCTATAGCCATTGAAGGTTGATCGCGGACGACAACGTAAAAGTTAATGAAAAAATCGGTCTGCTGGGTGTGAAAGTCAAAAGTAAAAAACTGCCAATGCACTGGATGCAAGTTTTATCTGAGAGAATTTTTCAGAGTTTCAGTGCAGTTTTCTCTGCTGCCAATATTAGAAAACCATGAAAACGTTGCAGTAATTCAGCAAGTGCAACAATAAGAAGAGGCCTGCACTATTTCGTGAAATTTTTTGTTCCTGTACACTTTCTTGTTGAAACTGAAAGTTAAAAGGTCTAAAGCAAGCCAAATTAATCACTAAAAAAACTTATACAACCGATGGTCACTTTTTTCAGTTGTAAGACAAGCTGCAACTCTAATCAAAATTATTGACTTTTGGATTTTGATGGTAATCGCTTTCTAATGCTCTTTAATACGCTCTCAAGTGCAAAATTTTAAGAAATGTATTTATTTATGGAAAAAAAGACACTGCAATCCAAGGGACGGTTTTTTCTTTTTAGTCAAATTACAGAAATTACAGTATTTTAAAGTGATAACACTCTAATTCTCACGCAAGTGTGCGGACTAAATTGCCAGCAGTCTTAATTTATTTTTGTATCCAGAGGGAGGATGTGAATTCAAATTTTTATCAGACAAGTTTACACCCCATACATTGCGGACTAAATCTTTCAAAGACCTTTTATCTTAAAGACCTCCGTTTCTTTGTACAAAAATCTTTCAATCGTTTGTTTCATCGTACTGAAAATGTAGTTTCACGTTTTAATTTTTTATTAATATTGTTTTACTGATTGAAAATGGCTAGGCAACTACTCAAAATATTTGTAGTTTTCTCTGCTAAGTAGCCTCGCTTCTGACGTGTCCCCTAGACTTGGGGAACAGAAACAACTGAGACTTTGTTGAAAAGAAATACTTTTATTCATGAAAAAGGACAAGGCACAACATGGAAATGCAGAACAAGAGACAGAGAGTAGGTAGACATCTTTAAGTTCGACCTTGCTTTGGTTAGTGGTCGTTCGGTGGTAGTGGACACCACAGCTTCTTGCTGTCTTGCAAGTGCTTCCCCCCCCCCTCTCCTTTTCTCAAATTTGTTTTTTCAACTGCAAAGTTCAATCTTAAAGATTTCGGTTTCCTTTGACTTTAGGGCATTTTCAGTGTGAAAATGCTCTGCAAACTCTACTTCAGTCAGTGGGACGGTCTTTTTAAGATCCTGCCCACACAAGCGCAGTATGGACGAATTAGTTCCATAAACTGGGGGTTCCAGGAACAAATTATAGTTACATAAGTCATAACAAGTTCCTGGAACTGTGGTTGTGTGGACAAGGCCTAAGCTTTGAGTATTTTTGCATCTGGGATCTTCCTCCCATCGATGGTCCCAAAAAATATTGTTTTACATAACCTACGACAGTGCAGTTCTATCAAAGATCAGTTGAGTTTTATTTTTTTGTTGTTTGATCCAACCTCGAGGCAAAGTTGTGTGTTATTATGATAATTTTTAGGTAGTAAGCATTGGATTCAAGTCATGCCTAAGAAGAAATAAGAGGAGTGCAATTTTTTTTTTATGTGCTGTTGACCTGTATTTGTTGATATTTAGTTTTGATGTGCTGTACCTTTCAAGCTCAATAAGCAGTATCAGACATTCTGTTTACCGATTTCATGAAAAGCAGGGCTGATAAGTGAATACCAAATGAAGGATCAAGGAGAGCTCCCATTTACTTGCTGACCAAGGAAATTGAGTAGTTGTGCGCTTTTAATTCTATTATGGGTTGGTTGAAAAAAAGCCCAATTCTGTTGAGTTGCAACAGCAGATGGCGGATTGCTGCATCATTTTTGAACTGAGGTTTATCCAAAAAGCCAACACAGCAACAGTGCCATAAGAAAGACTTGAGCACTAATGCTAAAAAAATTTCCTTTTCAGCCTCAATTTTCCAAAAATTTGCACATGGATTGGCCAATTTGTTAAGCTCATTATGCTCAGGAGTTCGTTAAGAACATCACATGAAAAGAAGACGAAATTTAAGTGATGCCGAGTCACCATGTACACTATTGGAAGTTTTTTTGAATTGAGGATTCTTAATTAAAAAAAAAAAAAAAAAAAAAAAAAAAGTTCCAAGAAGAAATGGACTGAGTTGAGCAGAAAGGAACCAATCCACATTTTGGAAAAAATTGAGTTATGAGTGGTTTTGATTTCAACCACTGCTCTACTATCAATAGCCAAAAATTCAAAGTTTTTGTTGGAGCAAATTTTGCAGGAATTGAACTTGAAGTTTATCTTTTACATTGAGTCTTATGCAGGAGCCAAACTTTAAACCTCTTTTTCTCGGTTCGATCCTGGTGTGGCTTGGTTCCTTTCTGTTTAACTCCCTCCAAATGTGCTGAAAGAATCAATATTTCAGAAGCGTATTTTCTTCTCAACTCTCTCTCTCAAGAATCAAGAAGTCTGAGACGTTAATCAATTTTCCTGTTTATTTTTTCAGGAACTATCAAACCCGATGCTCGTCCTGCTTTTCAAAGACGGAACAGAGGAACCGGTCTGTCAACCTTTGATAGATGCAGGTTTCTTCCAAAAGGTGGACTGAAAACCTGCCTGACTTGGCATCTCACCATCATCATCGCTTGATAGTTTCTCACAATTATTGAATGAGCCATTGGTCTTGCCCCTCACCGATGTGAATTTAGTTCAGTCATCAAGGTCCTCTTTAGTATTAAATTTATCAATTGTGATTTTTAGGCAGATACATTTACTAGGTTGATCGAAGACCATTGAATAATGTTCCTCTGTCCGATTTCTAATTTTTGGCTAGTGAAATGAGAATCTCATCTACCAATGAATTAACATGGAGTCAAATTATCAGATCAAAGAAAGATTTGAATGTTTTGTTTGTACAAGAGTTCTTAAAAGTTTCTAGAAAATTGAGATTGGATTGGTTTTTAGCCATAACTTCTCATAGATTCACGCGATCTCATTTCGAAATGGCTTTCTACTTTGCATCTCGTTTAATACGTATTAATTCCAATTTTTCAATCTTGTAATCGCTCCTCTTTTGTTTGTGCACTACTGCTATTTTCAAGAGGAGCTCTATTGTGATAAAGGCAGGCAATTGCGTGCATAATGTAACCATATAGTCGTGCATGCTTTGGCTGTAAGAAGATTCATAATCCTTGACTTGTTGTTTTAATTGTTCATTTATTTAGCATTAAATTTCTATTATGTTCCCTTCTGTCAACTATACAAGCTTAAAGCTGAGGAACTGTAATAGGAGAAAGCTCCCCAATGTGTTGTCTGGAGTGGTGACAAGTGAAGTTGCCATTGAATTGCTGATCGAGGGAAGCTGTGCGTCTAGTTTATTTTTTTACTTCTTTTGACTCAGGTTTTTATGCTTTTTTGGAGGATCTATTTTTTTACTGTATTTACTTAATTATTAACTTAACTGAAGTTGTATTTTTCTCATTTATTTTGATTTTCAGAACACTATACCACAAATAGTGTTGCATTATTTCTACTAAGAACTGATGTTTAAAGGCGCTAGCCACAATTATCCTCATTCAGGATTTAAATCGAGTCAGCACCCTCTCTAACAGAGATAGTCCTTACATGCCTTGTGATATGGTTAATTCCAGGAGTGTTTCAGTGTTTTTCTTTAATTTCCTTATTATTATTTTTACTGTGTCGTAGTTACTCTTATCTTTACGTCATCAAAAATCTTTTTGTTCTCATTAAATATTTATCTAAGAAGTTCCAAACTACGTTTTTATTTTCTCGCTCCCCTAGTTTTTTTCTGTGCCTCATCCTCAATTTAGGCCACTATTTTAACAAAGACATCAGACAAGATCAAATTTTCAATATGCTGATGAAAGTGGTCAAAATGTATCCTTTCTGTAAGTATAAATTAATCAATTTTTGATACGTAAAATTGCGATTGCATGATGGAATGACCACCTATAGCAGAAAACATAGTTGTGGGAGAATCGTATTTGAAGTTTTAATAGATGTGTCACTGAGTTTGTGCTATAGGATCACTAGAAAAGCACTTTTTGTAATGGGCCTGTTTCTCCTAACTTCGCAATCTGCTTAAGAAATTAGTATTTTTTTTAGCCTCTGGCTTCAAAACGATACTACAGCACAGGTGAACATCTTGTTAGAGGAATCCTTCCATTCAACCCCTGCTCAATAGAATGTTTTGCAATATTTACATGGCTGACACTTCCGCGCGCAGTCTATGGGAGCACAAGGTCAATCAAGGCAGACATCTCTCAATAGTCTCAACGCAAGGGAAATGTGAACATTAACACGCTAATTGTTATCAGGTGGTAAGAATCTTGTCTCGTCACACATGTCGAAACATTCAGATGGGTTGAATGAAACGACTCCTCTAACAAGATGTTCATCTGTGTCAAGTATCAATCTTGACGTGGGAAGCTCAAGAGCGCAAATTCATGCACAGATGGTGAAGTTATGAGTGCATTTCAGAATTTGCCAATGCAGTCATAATGATTTTTGAGACATTCACTGTAGGAAACAACTTTTATTTTTGTTCTAGTGAAGTACGCAACAGGCCCATTGGATATACCTTTTGAACGATTCATTGTGCATTTTGGGAAAATAAGTCAGTTCTTACTTTAAGATTGTTGATTGAAAACATGCTGTTGGTGGTTAATCCATCCACCACTTTGTCTCAAGGTAGAATGGCTGATTAAATGCTGAAAATACAATTGACGCTTTGCTACAGTCATAGAATGTCATATGACGCAGAATGATGGCCCTTTGATGTTGATGAAGTACATGATAGCATTGATGGGCAGAAAAACATTGATATAGACGGTGAGCTGCAAAAATTCGCATCTCGGTTGCGGTGTTTCGAAATCTGCTACTATTTCATTTTGTAGAAGGAGACCAAACTAACATCATGGCCGTAAGATTTCACAGAGTTTTCTTTACGAAGAGAAGAAAAATACCCAAGTTTTCAAAAAATGACATTCAGCAGTTTTCCATGCACAAATTTAAGTATAACAGGAAGTCTGCAACCCCGCAAACCGAGATACGCATTTTTTCAGTTTCACCATGGAAATGGCGTATGAGTAACCATGACCAATGCCACCCAATTTTTAATGTAAGCTAGGAGTTTCATAAAAATAATTCTTGTAAAAAAATCTAGTCAATTATGAATTTTTAAAATGAGATTTTAATAAAAAATACAAGTGGATTTAAAGTCGGACAGGATAAGACCAATGAGATATCAACTAGGTCATCGCTTATATTTGGGAAATATAAGAAAATGTCAAAAGAATAACAATAACGAGATTTTATCGTTTTCCAGCCACACGAGGTGCACTCTTCTGTTGAACTTTAGCAATCTTCTGTTGTTTAGGTTGCTTGGCCTGCAGAAAAAAATAAAAAACAAAAAAATTAAGAGCGATCATTGATTACTTAAAATAGCAACAGAACAAATAGAATAATATTAACAGGATGATATTCCTGTATTTTCGCATTAAATACAGTAGCTGAAATCAGATACAGACTTTACAAAATTGTCCAGGAGCTGGTCATAAACAGGAAAATATTAGCATCACCTTAAGATATGCTGAACTACAGAGTGTGACTTTTAAGAGGGGGTTATAGAGTGATCAATTTTCTTTATAAATGGACGTATTTATGCAAAATGGAACGATGGGTTGTTCTCGGGCCAAAAGAATGAGTGGGAATTAAAAAGCGCCAGTGACGTCAGCGGTGACGAACGGGTTCGATGCCGGACGACGGGAGCGACGACGCCTAGGTAGTCGATCTATAACTCATGAGCTCTGTCTATAAGGCTCTTGTCACTAGGGGTGCTCAAACAAATTCTTGCCGGAAAGCTATCAGTATCGTCTCTTACCGAAACAGGTGGCAGTACCGACAGTGGCGATGATATGGTTAACAAACCGCCTCATCGGAGTTTTGAGAGCTCGCACTCAATGCATTGTTGCCCCGTGTGTTGGTTTGTTGCATTACCTGGCACAGCGGCGCGTAAAATAGATGTACAAATGGGAGCAGCTTATTTTCGTCAGCTCTGAAAACTCAGATCGCTATCGGTAAGAGCGCTCTTATCGTGACTATTTCTTGAAGGATCTGTTTCAGTAGCTTACCGATAGAACAGCCCTATTTGTCACATGCCTAAGGCTCACAAGTTGGCGCTCAGTTCCTTTTGATTTAATTGAAAATTCCGCTTTTCCATTTTCTCAAAGGAACTGTATTCACTTTTATATTGTTTCTTATGCAGCTTGCACGAGCACACCCAATCTTTCTACTTGCAAATAGTTCCATTTAGCATAAATACGTCCAATGGAGATGTTGTATGTGTGAGGGATTTGTGATTTGACCATTGATTCTTATGTAAAAGTTCGCGAGAAACCTGATGGTGCCACTGGTTTTCTCTGAAATCATCTACCAAGCTCAAAAAAATCTCTCAAAGTGAGGCCAAAATGGAGAGGATATCCCACCCTACCCTGAGAGTCCACCTCTACATCAAAACAAACTCTCCATGGAAAGATAGGGAGCTAATACAATAGCAGGGTTGCCGTGTTTTCAGTTTTGGAGTCCTCAAATAAAGTGGCAACCCTGCTAATGTATCTGCTCCCTATCTTTGCATGGAGAGTTTGTTTTGATGTAAAGGTGGACTCTCAGGGTAGGGTGGGATATCTCCTCCATTTTGGCCTCACTTTGAGAGCTTTTTTTGAGCTTGGGAGATGATTGCACTATTGCAGAGAAAACCAGTGGCACCATCGTGTTTCTCGCGAACTTTTACATGAGAATCAATGGTCAGATCACAAATCCCTCACACATTCAACATCTCCATTGGACATTCGAGCCTGAAAATAGGAACACTAGAACTAGCATTAGACAGACTTCCAGACTAAAATTTAATGAAAAAAATGGGGAGGCTATGAAAAATGAGAAGGCTAGTTCACCTTGGCATGCAAATCCTATTGAATTTCTAGGATTTTTGGCAACTTTCTAGAAAATCAAGCGGATTGTGCAAGATGATTTCAAGAGTCGCACATGATTTTCATCAAGTTCCAGCAATTCGTAAATGAAGAGCAAAAAGAGAGAAAAAACACCTCAAAAATATATTTGAAGGTTTTGGGAAGAAGATGTATTATTCAGGAACGCAAATTAGAAAAATAGAAAGGTTAGAAACTGATTACATCCCTGGAATTAGGTTAGCTTCCCAATTTCTCTTCTAAGGAACGTTACAATATAGGCGCCACCCTGCGGAAGAATGCCATCTGCGCCTTGGGACGTTGCCAAATTTCATTAGATAATATGCACATTTGCAGGGAAACTGGTCAACATCTTTCTTCCAATTTTACTGAACATATTGCTCGCAATTTAATCTTCGGTATCTGAATATTTCGAGGAAAAATTCTCATTACTCTCCTGAAAATAAACATCTTATTGGAAGAAGTTCGACAACTTCTGAATGTACATGTTGTCGTAGAAGACATACCTTGGTGGGAGGTGCAGCCGCTGCAGGTTTAGCTTTCTTTGCAGCTTGTGCCTTCTTCTGTTCTTTGGCAGCCCTAAAAGCAAGAAAACAAATAGAAAATTGAGCCAACTCACAAACATAGACACAGGCTAATAAATTGACAAATTATGATTGGCTTGGTTGAACCGTCAAGTTCCTTCATCTGATATTGACAGAGAGAAAGATGTCTCTTTCTAAGATGCATGGCATATGACATGATGTAGACTGTGATATTGCATGAGGCACAAGCAGGAAGCTCTAGTATGCCTCAGGGATTTGCTATTTCAGTGCCAATGGTTTTTTCTAAAACAAACTTCCTTGATCAAAACAGACAAGCGCTCAAAAGAAAGATAGTGATGGAGGGGATTGCCTACCCTACGCCTTAAGTCCACCTTTATATCAAGTCAAACTGAGCATTCTCAAGTGAGGAGCAAATATTTTGGCCAAGTAGGCAATTTATGCAGGGACTCCAAGGCTGCAGCCATGGCAACCCTGCTGAAGTATTGGTTTCCTGTCTTAAACTGGGATTTCCTCGAGTTTTTCCATCAGACAAATACCTCTTGGCCAAATAAACCATTACACATAAATATATCGAGCATTATAATACATGTAAATTATGTACATGACCAATAAAAATTTCCCATACAGCATGTTAAATATTTTGAAAAATTCACAATTTAATTCATAATGGACCACTAGACAAGGTACGAATTTAAGCATTCTAATACATGTTTCTTGACCAGAATTTCATGTGGAGCACGATTTACGCAACGAAAAGTAATGAAACAAACTCCAAACGAAGATATTAACGTTTTTATTTCACATTGGTTACGAGGAATTTGAACTGCCCGCTGACAAGAAACTCAAAACTCTACGTGAGTCAAATTGCGCACTACAACAATTCAACAAGCTTCTCAATTGAGAAATGTTCATTTCCCACCATGTGTTGTTCAAACTATAAGCAATTTGCTACAGCTGAGCCAAAGCGTCAAGATTGAGGTTGCCAGATTTTTATATCGCAGAGACTGTCATGATGACGTTTAGCGCACGATGTGAATCACGCAGAGCATTGAGTTTTCATGAGCGGGTGGTTTGAATTCACGCATCAAGAATCATTAAATATCTTTGGAAGGAGTTGATTTCGGTAATTTTCGCTGTGAGCGTCGTATTCTACGTGAAATTTCAGTTGCGAAATATGGATCAGAATGCTGAAATTCGTACCTTGTCTAGTGGTCCATTGAGAAATTAGCATTTTGAGCACTTGTTGTAAATTCAGACTTCCGGGAAATAAAAAACTTGGATCTACTTGAATCAAATTGACGTGATGAGAATTTAACAAAATGAAAGTTTGACGTTCAAAAGAATAAGTAATTATGGAGGGGATGAAAGAATGAAAATACTTACTTGACTGCTTGTTCACGCTGTGCACGCCTAACTTCAGGTTTCATATTTCTTTTGGCTAAAATTTCTGTTAGGGATGCACCTACAATGGCACGCTGGAATTTGTGCGTTCTCCTGGTCCTTTTCCTGGTGTATTCCTCTTCCAAACCCTTCTTGTGTTTGCGCCTGCATACATAAAGGAGAGTTTTCTTAGAAAAGAAATTAACTCCAGAAGGCATAGATTACAAATAAAATCTTTGAACTTGCCGCTGTCTGATAACGTTACTCGTTCTTCAAGAATTTTTAATTTACAAACATCCGTTTTCGTTCATAAAAAGATTATGCTGTGGTACTGCAGAAACACAACTGGCAAAAAGTATATGAGCCAAGGACACACAGGTTCCACTCTTCTCTTTCAAAAAACTCATTTCAGAAGTTAAAGATTGAGATCTATTCCTCCTCACTAATCAACTCCTCAGGTTTCCGCAAGGTTCGGTAACTTATGGTTGTTATTTGAGGAAAAGTCAACTACTTGCAGAGAGATTTAGTACATTCTAATAGAAGAAAAAAAAAATGTTTGACAAAAAATATAAGAAGGAAACATACCGGTAGAGGATTGTCCATTTGATTTTACGAGGATTCCTCTTCATGTGAAAGGCTCGCTCACATCTAGAACTGGCGAAGGTGACAACCTGCAGAAAATAGGAAACCAGATAAGAGGACTAGCAAAGAGAACTTTTCTTAAATAGAAATTCAACAAATTGAAAACCAAATAAAATGAGCTGAACGATGACACACTGTTGAGACAGTGCTTCAATCAGAAATTGAAATATTTGTACATATTTCATATCTAAAGGTAGAGGCCCGTAAGTTTCTTTCCACCTCATTCACACTTTTAAGACAACACTGTTGGCACAAGAAAGAAGGAGAGAAAAGTCAAAGCGACCAGAATGCATTAATCATCAATGGCTCAAAGGTTACCACATAAATTTGCGTTGAATGGTGCCATTCTCTGATGTGACATCTGTCTCTTCATTTCCTCCTCTAGTTCTGTGCGTCATGATGTTAATTCCAACAAGCAAATAATGGAATTTTTAAGGTAGTCGGAAGAGCATCATAAAGAACTGCTTGTTCTAGATCAAGTTTTTATGGAGCTGACTACAAAAATTAACCAATGACACTGCCTTTGCAAGTTGGTCTTCTGAAAATTAAAAGTAAACAACTGCCCACTTACATAGCGGTAATTAAAGTAGAAGACTGCCAATTTTCTCGATGCTGAAATGTGACGACAGTGATTCAGACAGGGAGCGAAGTTTCAAACTTCCCACCATAGTTATATGACTTTTTTCCAGATAAATGAAGTTTCAGTACAGACCCAATTTTACCTCTACCATCTTGGTTTCAACTAGAACATACCTGATCAAACCATGCCACACACGCAACTCATCGCTGAGTGTGTAACGGAAGCACACAATATGTAAACTTCCCATGGGAAAAATGAAAAGCGCCATTACTATATAATTGCAAGAGAGTGACTAAGAGATGGGTGTGTGGTAGAATTCCTTTGACAAGGAGATCAAGCTCCTAAATTCAAATAAGCACCTGACGACTGCGTAATCAACATACAGAGGGAAGTGAGGTTAGTTTCGGAAATGGCACTTTCTAGGTACGAAATCTGTTTTGAGTACGGTTGAAATTCATGGGAGTAGGTAGACTAGAGGATAGAGATATCTAATGTAGCAGGAGGGCTCGAGAAAATAGTGAGAATAGTACCTTGCCGTCTGTTTTAACCATTGTCCTCCCATGGCCGGGGTAGATTTTGAAACCACTGTACACGCACAATCCTACCCTGGAAACATAAAGTAAAGAATTGCATTAAAGAGCAGATCATCGTAGAATGTAAAAGTATTGTACGAAATGTCATACGTGAGAGGATTGAAGAAATAATTCAGGATAAATTTTACTTACTTCATGATGCTGGTTAGCAAATTTCACGATAACAGAAAACAGAACACAAAATAAATAGAAAAGTCTATACACCCACAGAGGGGAAACCCGCCTTGAGGGGAAACTATAGAAACTGGAAGGAGATGCAGGATCCGAGGTTGTCTGCCATCTTGAAAATCTATCGTGACGTTGCAATTAATAAACCAATGAGAGAGCGAGATTAGTCAGGCGCACAAGCTACTTCACGCCTCCGTTCCTCCTCTCATTCCGTTTGTTCCTTGCCGAACCCGTAATTCCCTGGTCCATTTCAGATTATAATCTTTGCAATTGGTGAAAATGTAATCTTTATTCCCGTTTGTGACACTGTGGAGGCCTAAAATACGGGAACCAATCAGAAATGGATTCAAATTGTCTTGACTCTCAGTATAAAGGGACTCTACTCTATACTATCTCCGAGCGTTTGATTCGTCGATAACTGGTGGATGCAGCGGAATTTCGCAGAGCGGCAATTTTGAACAAATTGAACAGCTTGCTCAATGGGCACAAATATATAGATCGCGTAATGCCTTCGGTATAAATTCTTTCTCTGTTACAGAGATATCAACATCTTCTCTTCTGTTCACGTAAGGACAGCAACCCTAAAAAATATTGCAATTTGTTATTACTTCAGGTACCTACTTGGTCAACTTCTTGACACTCGCCCCACCTCCCCCCATGCTCCAATTATTTAGAAAAGAACAGGAGCCTAAAAGAATGGCTATAAAAATTATCATGATGGGAAAATATAATTTCTCTCATTACATAAGACTTGGCTTGACTCCCCCCCCCTTTGCGGCTCTCAATGGTTAAAATTAGGAGGACGGCTTTCACTAAATTGCAAAAGAGTTTACGAACAAAAATTCTCACCAAAAATCTGCTAAGAACTTTTGAGTACATAAAGTAGTCTCTTAGGCACCTTAAAGCTGAGATTGATAATAATGATCCAAAAACAAAACAGTAAACACTAATATTTGGATGAATAAAACTGAAAATAATAAGTTATGCACTAGTTGAGTGTGGATTTACAGCAGAAGTGGAAGTATTTAGATGAAAGATAATTGTTATGAAGCGTGAAAGTTGCGCACTTGAGTCTGTGACAGGCTACGGTACAGGATATTTCAGTCTGTGTTTAGGGCCAAAATTCTGATATTAAATGACAAAAACTGCCTAAAACGATGTTACAATCTAATATAGCGTAATATTTTGAACAGATTTAAAAAAAAAAGGTCAGATTTTTCCATTCCAAAGGACTAAAAAGTCGGGGGACATGGTAAAGCTCTTTAAGCCTGTTGATACAGCGGCACCATTCATTTCTTCGATTTCAATATTCCTGACTTTTTTATGACTTCTAAGGGTTTTAAGAACTTAAAATTCCCTGACCTTTCCATAACTTCTTCATATTTTTTGGGGAGCATTACTCATTTGTCAAAAAATGCTCTTGAAAATTTTCTACAGCCTTAAGTCTCTCGAAATTGAAAATTCCAGCATATACGGGGAGAAGTCCTAATTTTTGTTGATGGAGTGAGTGGGTGCAGTTCAAATAAATTTTTTGGCTGGGGGAAGAATTTTGAAGTTCAGTAGCAAAAGTTCCTGCCTTCGGGGTAGAGCGGAATTCCCTGACTTTTCAACTTTTCAAAGTTTTCAAGGACTTAGCAAAAATTTGTCACCCTGGGATAGATTAAAATGAAAGACAACTCAAAGTGACTAAGGGCTTTCCTCCATTTTTGAACTGGATGTTTCAAAGGGGCACATCGCGGCCTGCTTGCATCGGTAGCCAATGAGAGGAGTGCAAAAGATGAACTTCCTGGAAGTGTCCAATTGGAGTTTTAACATTCCGTTTATTGCTTTAAAATAATTTTTTTCTCTATTAATTACAAAGAGAGAAAAAAAAATTATGGGTAGGTAAGTACACAGGGGTGCAAATTGTTCTAGGCCTCTGCAATTTTCAGCAACGCGCAGGGTTTTCTCAGAGAGGTCAAAAAAGGCGCAACAACAAGGCGTGGATCAAAGTTTTGTTGAATTTTTTATTAATTTTAGAATGTGTGCCAAAGCTGCATTATTAATTGCATACTTAGTAAAGTTACATTAAGTTGCCAAAAGAGTTGAAAATCTGAGAACTGAAAAATCCAGGAAAGAAAGAAAAAAAATTCTCAGCCTCCACAATTTTTGGGGTAAGTCCACAATTTGGTTGCGAGTGAGCAGTCGCGAACAATTAGCACCCCAGTAAGTATAAATGAATACGTAAATGAGTGAATGACAGAGTCATTTTTGGAACAGAGTAAAAATTAAGAAAATGAACAGGGTCACATCCAGTTTATTTTCAAAACAGAAATTGCGATTAATTTAACAAAACTTATTCAAGTATCTCAACTATACATACTTCTAGGGTTAATGTGCTTAAAAGAAAGTGTGTGGCCAAGATGGAGGGTCGCCAGGCTTGACATTTCCACCAAACATGGCACTTTTGTCTCGGAATCTGGAAGTTCTCTCTTTTTCTTTATCATCTAAAAATTTCCCACAAGCAAAAACTGCTAAGAAGATTGGGAAACTGTATTTATAATACTTCAATTGAAATCCAAAAAGATTGTGTTTCCTTGGTGGTGGCGGCATTCTGGAATCAGAGGAAGGTAGTGGTGAAACAAAGTTGCTGACACAAATAAGATCTATTTCCATACTGCCATGCTAAGGAAAAATGCGGTATGAACATTCGAATGTTACCAAATTTTCCCAGATAAAATATTAATTCCAAAGGTAAGATATGAATATTTTTCATAAATTTAAAGATACTTCAGGTAAAATTACAAATAAAATTACCTGAAAAATTGGAAGAAAATTATTTACAAATTTTCCAAAAAGTTTATGTTTTATTCAGACAAAATTTGGTAATGCTAGAATTATGCCAAAATGGCAAAATTATGGACAATGAAACTCCCTAAACATGTATCTTATTAGCTGTGTTTAAAAATCTCCACTCCTCTTTTTTTTTTTCTTCAACAAAACTACAAAATTCCTTGAAGTTTTTGTAAAATTTGCTTCGCACATAGGAGAAAAATAATGGAAGTTTTAAAATTTGACGTTGAGTGATTTTCCATTTAAAAAATAAAAGTATGACAAAAAGTATGTGACATCCTAAACCGAGACATATCGTTTTGGAGTTTCACAGTAGCATAGACTAGAATGAGATCTCATCACAAAAATTTGCATCATCTAACCTTCTTGTGTTGGGATGTTTGCATTTCATAGTATAACTAATATCACATCAGCCTTCGAAAGAAACCTATCAATACCTGATAGAGCTGTTGTTCTGACTCAATATTTAAGTGGTGATCCACAAAAAATGTCTAGCTTTCTTTTTTTTAAAAAAATAATCCCTCCCTCCTTCTCAGGGCAATGTCATGCAGCTTCGAAA